GCGTACGTTCGTGCAGCATCATTGCACTCTCCTCTGCTCGTCCTCGAAAGTCGAGGGTCGAGGCAAAGGGCTGCTGCTGTTGGGGCTCCACCACACTCTTATCTCTGACTAAGGGGGTTCGCAGATCCAGTGGTACGCCTTCTATGTATTGTATTTGCCAGCTACCTCTCTCTTTGCTCTTGGAGAACCGCCGCGTCCTTTATTTTCGGGTAATGTTGCGTGATAACAACCAACGCTGCCAGGTCTCTCTCCGCCCTCCACCAGGGAATTGCTCCGCTGGGACGATTATTAATATCGTCGGCTGGCTGGCGAAGAGGGATCGGATCGTTAACAGAAGAGAACGGTATATAGCAGGGCCAGGTCTCGCTTGCTGATTTTTCGGGAAACAATGGCCGGTGGTAGTTCTGTTGGTTCGTTTCTGCGGGGATAAACGGGGGGGATTGTTTTGCCGGGGTGGTTGACTGCGATACCAACGGTGCAAGAATTAAACGAGAATAATATTTATACAAATGTACAGGGTGGACTGTGTTCTGCTAGCGTATCTTTTTGCAGAGTCGAGTGTGCTGTGCCTTGGTTCGTGCGGTTGTTTTAAGGTGAAAATCTGTTGTATTTTGAAGAAGGACGCAAGGTGTATACGTAGTTTCGTGATTTACCATAATCTCGCAGATATTTGCGACTGTTTCAATGTGAAATTTTTCAGGATTTTGGAGAACGAAGTTTCGTTCAGTCGTTAACGAAAGTAAAAGGAAATGATAAACGTTCTTCGTAGATGGTAGATACGTAAATTTCACGTTACATCGTTTCTTCTTCACGATTTACCATAATTTCACAGATATCTTCGACTGTTTCAATGTAAAAATGTGTAGTACTATATTTTGGAGAAGAACAAAGTTTCGTTTAATCTTTACACTGTTATTAACATTCGGACACTCTTTAGAACATTATAATTTCTCTAATATTTGACCAAACTTCTTGCTCACGAGCAAATTTCTCCTCCCGTGGTACCCAACTATGTGACTGAGATGATCTCGCCGGAGTCGACTGCCTTTTGTTTATGTTACACATTCTGCGTGGTCGTACCAAAAAACTATCGCTGGAGTTGTGGTGGAGGTACCTCGGGAGGGGAAATTTGCTCGTGAGCAAGAAGTTACGCAGCTCTGGTATATACACTACCTGCCAAAAGTTTGGAATCACCTCCCACTTTTCATCAATATTAAATCTGCTGCTAATTTTTTGCAGATTTGAAGTTTATCTCAATTCTACATTTATCAATTTATCTCAAAGTCGCTCGACTTTTTTCCCGAAATTTTCGTGTAAACTGCAATGCTCGGTGATTCCAAACTTTTGGCCGGTAGTGTATGTAGGAGGACAAGTGTAAAAAATTCTGAAAAAATGTAGAAATCGCGAAAGTAAAATGGTAAATGTCACATTTTGCAACATTTCATATAACTGATAAATCGTTCCTTCCTCGTGATACCACGAATATCTCTGGGTTTAGAGTTAGCAAATGGTTTTTCCTTGCTTCTACGTTATTTCTACATCGATTAAATTGGCTACAGAGGTAGAATGGAAGACGGGATACGAAAAGCAGGTGTAGACGAGCACTTCCTGAAATAACAGCTACTTTATTATTATACGAATACCATTCATCATACGTCACAAGTGAAAAATATCGTTCGAACGGATCTTTATCGACAGATTTTATTATGTAATATAAACTTATGTGTTAATACATTGCTACATGTTTCTTGCTTAACGGCTAGTCCTATCGGCTAGGTCCTTAGTGGCTAGAATGCACAGTGACTTGTACAGAAATCATCCTCCTTCCTCGATAATCATCCAACCTCGTCCATTCTAAACATCATCCTGATTTGTCAATTGTCCTCCGTTGTGTACTTCGTTACGCGTGTGTCTGTGTGTGTGTCTGTGTGAGCCGTTCACGGATCACGGAGAAGAGAGAAAGAGCGTTAGAAGAGGCGTGTGCGTACGACGGATCCATGAAAAATCACACGCAGAGTATAAGATAAAACGGAGGAGATTTCACGAGAATTCGGGGATCTATTCTATATAGCTTCGGAGGGGAGAGAAGAAAAAGAGGAAGAAAGAAAGTTTGGTCGGTGACGAAACGTGGGGTAGGAAAGTGGAAACAGAGGGTGAAATACAGGAAAAGGATAAGATATACATTTACACGAGGCGTTTTCTTTGGTAACGTTCTCTCCTACTATCCTTGTTATCTCGCGCTTTTATTTCTTAGGCAAAGGTACAGGCTCGCTCTCCTTCTCTCTCCCCCGCCCGTGTCTCGTTGAAACTTTCGTTCAAGAAAGCGTCCCCTCGAGCGTTTAGTTTATAAAACGTTCATCCTTAATGCTGCTAAAACTGCCACGGCTTCCTCCTTCTTCCCTGGATAGAAATGAAAGGCCCTACTCTCTTTTCGTTCCCTCCCTCGCCCTATCTTCCTCTGTCGGCTGTGCGCGCGTTCACTGTGTACCTGAATTTCACGATCCAACGGGTAACTTTCCTGTTTCGCGGGTTAAATCTCGTTCAACCGCCTGTTTATCGCAGGCCGAAAAATTTTCAATCGTTTTGTACTCTAACAGATTATTCAACGAAAGAGAAGAGAAACACATTCCAAATTGACGATTACCTCTATCGTAGACGGCGATTCTTCTTTCGAGTTTCGAACCGAACACGCTGTCGCGTGACTTTTCCCTTTTCATCTCTTTTCGCAATTGCTCGCGAGTACGATACTTGATCACGTGCACGACAGAGCGCCCCGTAGGGCGAGCAACACCGTAATTGCCTTGTTACGGGAGGCGACGGTTACAGATACGAAAACGCGAGGAGGACAAGCCGTTGCGCAGAGAACGCCGTCGCGGGCGTTATAATACGAGCCTATTCAATTAACGAGTTACAATTAAACGTTAGTTGTTAATTATTATCGTTAAATTTACGCCTAAAGATATAATACACTCACCTAAGACGTACCTGATGATATCTTTTCATTTCTCTTTATTCTCTTTTTTCTCTTTTCTTCTGGTTGCTTTTGTAAAAATTTCCCTATCACGCCGCGAGAAAACACTTATCGTAGCACTTGGCGCGTCGGGAGGAAAAGAACGATCTTTCGATCCGGGGGGGGGGGTTTCTTTTTCTTCTCGTAGATCTCGCATGAGGTGAACAAACGAGCACATCGTAGAATCGATATTCCTGCGACGATATAGGTTCTTTTCTTTTCTCGAAAGAGTACACTTTCATCCCTCGATGTTGCAACAATTTTCAAGGACCAATCGTGGATAAGGCATTCGGTATTTCTTTTTTCTCTCTCTGTGGTGTACGTCGTTTTCGAAGGGAAAAACACACACACACACGTTCGTCGAGATCAGGGTTGATAAATTCTCTCGAATGAAAACGCGAACTCCCACTCGAGAGTGCCGAGTGCACTCTCGGTTAAAGAGGGGTTAATAGAACCGCGGTTGCAGCGAAAATACACCGTCGTCGTCCGTAAATTCGGGGTCACGCTGTATCGATTTCGCTTAACAAGATCTACGTTCCCTTTTTAAACGGATTTTTAGACTACACCGATGAGTAATTTCCGGTATTTCGAACGACGTTCCCCGGTCTCGCGCTCTGTCGAGGGCGACACCGTTACGCGTTGAATTTCGGCAAAATAAAGCTCGAGATTCCGATAAGAGAAACCGTTAAATCACCGATAATCCCTAAACTCACGGACGTCGCGGAATCAATAAACACGCCTTCAACTTCCGGATACCTGTCCCAAGCACGAGTCTTGAAGAAATGCAAAGCTAGTTTCCGCCGGAAGGATATCCGAGAACCGGCGACTAAGTCCCCTTAAGTCCGTCGATCGACACGCGAGCCACCCGTTGAATTTCTACCGAGAAACTTTCTCATCCACCCGCTTCTTCATTCGTCTCACATACAAATACACACGCACACACATCCGTACACACGATACACGTATAGAAAAGAACACATAGAGAGAAACTCCTATGTGTACATATACCACGAGACGATGTTCGCTCGTGCGAGACCAATGTGGCTAATTGCGTTCAACGCCTCAGCCTCGAGGAATTGCCCGGCAATTTTTCGAACCTTTGGAAAACTCTCTCGCCTTCCTACGTTTCCTTTTATTCTCAACCACGATCGAACAGGATATCCGGGCACGAGGGAAGGGCGGGAGGGTGTGGGAAAACGTGGAACGGTGGTAGCCGAGTTTCAGGCGGATTCTCGCTTTATCCGACGAGTCCTGGGATAATCCTTAAACCGGCTGGAATTCTCGCGACAACCTTTATCGCCGTTGAAAATCTGCCGAATGATAAACGCGTCCGTTCCACAAAGCTAACGAAACTTCCCCACCCTCGTGCTCTCTCGCGTGTCGAACTTTGCGAAACGGGGACAAGTTTCGCGCGGTCGAAGTTAAGCTGAGAGTGAAATAAGTCGTGAAAAGTTTCTTGTTTTTTTTTTTTGTCTCTTTCTTTACTATTGTACAGGAATTTGTTCGTAACCAGAAATGTGTGTAGGAAATATCGCGCAGGAAACACGCGGAGTCGATTGGCGATCGATCGATTTTCCGTATATGTATGTATATCGGGTGTATTGAAAAAGCCTCCCAGCCGCGTCCTAGAAAGTCGTCGAAATTAAGCGCCATACTACGCTCGAACGATCCCTCTTAACTCGTTCGTGTTGCGTTCTCATACCATTCCATCCTCCCTTTTTTTTATCCACTTTCATCGGAGAGTTTCCAAACACTTTTTTACCAGAAAATATTTCCATTCGATCGAGGATTATCGAACACGAACGAGTTTACCTGTGGTGAAAAAAAGGGTGAAGAAAAGGGATACTCGATTTTGTAGGCCAAGGTTCTCCCACTCTACGATTATACGCTGTTTCGCATCGTAGACTTGGTTTACTCGAGTTATCTTCTCTAAACGATCGCCAATCGACGATGTTCAAAGATGCAACACGACACGTCTTCTCCCCGCTCTCGTGCGAAATCTTTGGTGCTACGACTACCGATAACGTTATTGACGCGATCTAACGGGACCACTAATGACGATCCAAACCGCGTTCGCCTAGAGATATCTCCTTCCTCCGCAAGGACCATCGGTCCTCTCTGTCTCCTCCGTTTTAGATTGTTCAGGGTGAATCGTGTTCTCGAGTCAATTGGCTCTCGTTTTCCGGGATAGCCTTCGATAGAGTCAACGACTACCATTGTAAGCTGTCCACGATGGATTTCCCGTCTGAGCAAGGGTTTATGCTGCCGCACCATTTCGTTTCTTTCAACGGCGGACACGACAATCCACCGCGACGCGGTTTTATCGTGATCTTCCGCGTCCTCTGGGTCTCACCTACCCCGCAGCTGCGACTGCACGCGCTCCAAGGACCCCATTCGCCAACTTTGCAGTCTCTCGGTGGACCTGGAACACGGAGAAACTTTTAACGTGTGAGATAAGAGCGTTTTTTTTTTCGGCTGTGTGACAGTTGGACCGAGAGAGGGGCGGGTAAAGAGTGTTTGGGTCGTGTTACGGCTTTTCTGAATGAGAATGCATGCTGTGATCGAAAATTGACGTGTTGCAAGGGTGTGTGAATGCGTGTATAAATTTGTAAGGCAGTGTGAAAGATAAGAGCGAAGTGCGAATGTCGAAGACGAAGGGTTCTCTTTGTAGGCCGTATTTCTAGCAAAACTTAATTCACCACTTAACCCTGTTTAGTGCGTTCTTTTGCTCGACTATACGCTCAAAAAAGGCCCAAAGTTATTGAAGAAAATAGGAAGGCGATGGGTCAAAAAAGACCCAAAGTTATTGAAGAAAATAGGAAGGCGATGGGTCAAAAAAGACCCAAATGTGAGTCTTTAATAAAAACACCACGTGAACCTAGACGATAAACTTTCAATATAACGTTAAAGGAAGATAAATTTGAAAACAGCAAAAGTTATGGAAAAAAATAGGAAGGCGATAGGTTAGAGAAGACCGGCAGACCGTACAAAGAGTTAAATAACATCCCTTCAAATTGAAAATGGATTTTAGAAGCAAGCGAGCGTGATTGGAAAACGAGAGACAATGAAATGACTAATTACGAAGAAAGGGAGAGTGAATTCATAAACATGGTCGTGCCGCGTTTAGCCGGCACAAGGGGGTGAATAAACGAAACGCAAGATAAAAGGATAACCGAAGCGTGGACAAAGGCTGCGATTCTGAATGAGGCTAGTCACACGGGCAAAAAGAGAACGTACTTTGACCGTCTGCGCGGAAAATATCGCTATTAACCTCGCGTTTTCGCGTTAACACTCATGAATGAAATCACGATCAACCGCTCGCCACATAGCAAACGTGTCATCAAACGTGTATTCAAGAGAAGATCGTTCTTTTTCTTATTTACTCACGCGTTCTCAATCGTTTCCCTTTCGACGTTAATCTGTGATGTTTCATTCTGAGCCTGTGCTGACGTTGAGTCGTGATATCCGTGGAATTCCACGAATGACCAAGACTATTTCCACTTGTCGCGTTCGCCATCTTCCTCTGTATATCCTCGAAGATCTGTGCCTTCTGCGCTTCCGCTGTCTGTTTGTACTTTTGATAGTAGGGCCAGCCTGTCTTGCTGTCGAATTTCTGAACCTTCGGCGATGGCGTTGGCGGAAGTCTTGGCCTTTGTAGCGCGTAAGAGGAGGCTATGCTGTCCATTATCGCTGCCTTGTTGTCTCGCGGAACGTCTGTTACCACCTGACCGCTTCCGGTCGTCGTCCAGTACCTGCAAACGATAATTAACCGTGTAGCGTACTAATTTTCCTAAAATAGCCGATACGTACAATACTTGCGGCTGATCGAATTATTAGAGCCACGATACGAAAAATATTGTAGGAACCGAGGAAAAAATTTTGAGGGACCTAATTTGGATTGGCAAGCCGAGGCTTTGCGCACTACGCCAACTTTTTTTAACAATTTAGTTTTTATTACAAGATATAATGTTGTTCTTAAGTTTTAGGTTGCGTTGCCTGTCCGGAGACATTTGGCGCATGTCCTGTGTTTTCTTTTCGCTTTTCAGTGCTTGTTGTGTAAATAGTGAGAACTGAGCTGTTGTGACTAGGAGAAATTTACAATAGAAACCTGTCGCTTGTGGGTTGTGTTTGACTTATGATCTATGGGGGAGGGGTTTCATGTGGTTAATGGGCGCTTATACCTATGTTAGTTGCTTATGTTTATTCGCTTACGCTAATTATACGCCAATCACACCTTCTCTATTTTCCCTTGTAGGTTTCCTATTTGGGTATGGAGGCCTCGATACGAAAAATATCTTTACTGTGTTTGTGTAGAAATAAAATTACAAAAAAAGAAAAAGAAATGCAATTAAAAATAAAAGCAAAAAGCCAGAAACCCTTGAGCTAGCAACGAGTGTCGTACTAAGATCACCGAAAGTTGTTTCCAGGATCGTAACAGGATCACTTTCGCCCTTAGTACCCTCGCCAGGGATTCTCTCCAAGCCAGACCACAGGAAAGCAGCATACCGGACCCACTGGCGTCCAGGATCTCTTTTCTTCCTTAAAAACTCCTACCTCGCTTCTCTTCCCTCACCGCGCGGCTTTCCAAGGGAAGAAATTTGTCGCGACACGAAAAAGTCGACGCTACAAATCGTGTGAAAGAGCGGAAAAAATCAATTCCACGTGTGATTCAAATTTCTTGGCAAATCTCTTCCTCTTTAACCCTTTCACTGCTATTCGCGCCTATAGGCGCTTTGAAAATTTCTTCGCATTGCGCTATTGGAGCTTTTTGGCGCACTTCCGTGTTATTTCAAGCCTCAATTTTATCCTCTGCACTCTTCCGCGTTAATTCAATAATACAAATTTCAAAGCGATACCAAAAACCAAAATTTTGCAGCCGTTGTGGAGCATCTGAATTTGCCACGCGTGTTTGTCGCAGCGAAAAGGTTAACCGACGTCAAAACACGCTCTGCGAGACTCTCGATTATTTTTCCGCGACTGGAGGGAAGGGAAGGACGCGTGATCGTGGCGTTCGTCCACGTAGTCGTTACTTGAATTTCTAGACATCGAGTTTGCCGAACCGGAGAGGGTGCGCACCACTCGAAAACAATTTCGAGAGTTGATTTACGGTTGCCATGTCTACGCGCGTACGCGACGAGAGCCACGGCCCGGCAAGCCGAGAAAAACAGACAGAGAAGAGTACGGAGAACCTGGCAGACTGGTGCACAGAGAGTTGAAACGAATTGGAAGAAGAAGGAAGAGGTGACTCGCGTTTCACCAAACTTATTTAAAGTTTCATTTTCGATCTTCTCCCGTTTCTTTAACGTTTATACTCCGAGTTTGGAATTGTTTGTTTTTTAACTGGTTCGGGTGTCAAACGGCTGCTCAAATTTTCGGGCATCTACAAAATTTTTGGTAACCGAAAAACAAACTTTGTGAATTTTTTTTGAGATAGGTGAAATTTTGGCTTCTGCCTGCGTTAAGAAGGACATAAGCTGGAGTTGCAGAAGAGTTGATTTAGCGTTGCAAGTTGCGTCAAAGTATTGTTATATTCATTTACCAAATTTTGTCAGTTGTCATTGCCCCAAATACACGGGCAATAGCTTGCGACTCTTTTTAGTCCGGCCCACGATTCGTCTTCGTGAAGTCTTTAAATCTGGCCCCTTAGGTACTAATTACTATCGCGTTTCATTTTATTATTTTATTTAATATACTAGCCTTTTATACATACACACATTCATACATAGACCTGTCAATGTTCTATCAAATACATAATCACATTGGAGATATTAACCTGTTAACTGAGTCTCTCTAGTTTATAATTAAAAATGAACAGAAATTGTAACTAATTATTCCATTTTTCTTCTTGCAAATGTGAATATACTGTATTTTACATTTAACGCAGGCAAAATGTGCAATTAAAAATAACGATCCTCCAAGAAATAAACTATTGTGTTCTAAGTATCGATGAAGGAGTTAAACGACGAGTTAGGGTAATTCCGGGAGAGACGGACCAGGCAAGTATTTCCTACATTCTTCGCCATATGTCGAACGCGTCAGTATTCTTTTGTTTTACATTTGTTTTTGTTGAGGAGTGTGATTCCTCATGGTGACAATTGTTTTTTGGCGCGTCGCGTGGCATAAAGAAGGCACGCGGTCAGAGAGTGCGTCTCGGCCCTTCACGGTTGCCACGCGTGTACTTTTGTTCATCATTCGATAAAGATCTTTTACGGAAAACGTCAACAGTTTTACGGAAAGCGATCGAGCGTGGCTCTCAGTGTTTTCTGTTCCACATATGGCGGATAATGTAGGAAATACTTGCCTGGTCCATCTCTCCCGAAATTACCCTAACTCGTCTTCCCCAGCCAAAAGCTTAATATACTAAAAGAAAAGGTTAAAACGTCGTGTACTCGCGTCGGTTTGAAGCGGTCACGGAGTACCTTATCTCGAACGTTATGATATATAAAAAGAACTTGGATGGCCATTCAGTGCTCGGACTGATTGAATAGCTGGCTGTTTGTTGGTTGGCGTTCGTAACAAGACTGACTCGAAATTCGGAAGAGGATCTAAGGTACTGAAGGCGGAGTTAAATTTGGGAGGTGAAAAAATGGGAGAATATAGAAAATCGATTATTGGTCGTAGGGTTTCTTAACCTTTTAGATACGGTACGCCACTATAGCGGCTTCCGCGGATGGCATCAATTGGAACGGTACGCCACTATAGTGACTTTCGTGGATATCATGATTTTGGACGGTATTATACGTTTTTTGCTTTATTTCGCATTTGTTTCGCGAAATATCGCGAATTCCTGGCAATATCGAAGCTGTCGTTGAAGAGTACACGTGTCAGAGAATCGTCATGAACGGTTTTTGTGCCATCCGCGGCCAGGCGAGCCGTCCCAGGGGTACCCACTTGCGGGCGAGCGCGCCGTAGAAGGATGAGGTGTCTGGGGTTTGGGAAATTCCGGAGAAAAAGGAGATCGGACATGAGAGAAGGAAAGTACTACCTTAATAATTAGGAAGTCGGAACAATAGATGGTAAAAACGCCGTTCTTTTATGAGTTTACCGAGGGTACGCGTCTCTAACCGTCTCGGCTAATCCCATGGGCCGCGGGATCCTTCAGGTCCGTTTTACAACTGCCTTGAACTCGTAAACTAGAGAACACACGTCGGTACGATAATTTGGCCTGAGAAAGCGTTAAATTTATAAACTATCCGACAAACACTTAACGCGAAGAGTCTACAGACAAGAAGGGAGCATTGGCAAATCCATTCGTCAGCGACGTCCAACAATCGGACACGGCAATTTCACTCGAGAATAGACTTCACGGACTCTTTAAGATCACCCCGTGCTTTTTCCAATTTACGAGTAGACGCCAGCCCGACACTCTCGTGTGTACGTTTTTAATTTATCTCCCAGGGCATTTGCATGATTTCAATTTCACCCCGACAATTTCGCCACGGAGATACTCTACGTGCGCGCACCCTACGACCGGAGAATTGCCTTTTTCGACCGCTCCTCGCCCCGTCCTGAATTTTGTTTCGCCCCTCCGCGCTTTATAACCGAAGATTCTTTCTCTCTCGTCTCGAGATCAGCCACTCTCCAACGATCGATCGAGACACGATTTTCAACCCGCGACGATGAATTTTTCACGCCGCAGGGATGCACTTCCAGAAACGCCGAGGAGAAAAAAAAGGGAAGAGCGCAGCAGCTCGTTTCTGTGTCCCGTCCCTTGTTATTAATGGTCTCGTTAATATTAAAAATTGTCGACGTCGTTGTTCGCCTTACGCGGTAATTTACATTTACGCCCCGGATCCACCAGCCGAACTATTTTTCATCTCCCATCCTTCTGTCTCCTCTTTGTTTATTTATTTCGAAAAGTTCGCGGCAAAAAAACAGCGAAATAAACTACAGTTCCCACGGGATTAAATTATTCTTTCCCCTCCTCCCTGCGTGGATGCCGCGGGCAAATGAAGAGGAAAACAGTCCACATTCTCCCAGTTCGCTTTTCCTTTTCTTTCTTTTTTTTTCTTTTTTTTTTGCGGGGAAATTGTTTCGTCCACGAGGTCACCACGAGTGCGACCTTCTTTTCGTTAACTACGCCGCTGCGTGATTTTCGACGCGATGATCTTATCCCTGGTCTTAATTGCTGGACGCATTAAAGCTTGGAAAATAGGAAGCAGAGGAGCGTCGGTCTCCTGGAAGCGGGATAATTTTGCATTTTTCCGGGGGGAAAAAAGTCAGAGTGACGACAGTGGGGTTCTGGTGGCTTGTTGCGGGTCGTTAAGCTTAGGAACTCTTGTCTCTTTATCCCGGGGAAGAGGAGCACAGTGATTCTTCGTGGAATGATAGATGGAGAATTAAATCGACTTCTTGTCTCTGCGCTCGTAATATCGTACGGGTGATGTAGAATTTTTTCGAGACGCAGAGGGAAATTCGGGGAAAAAGTGCGGTTGGGGTGAATTTGGAAAAGAAACGTTTTATCGAAAATTCTTTGTCATCGAAGTATAGAAGGTCAGAAACCACACAACTTTGAATTTAACTTTTTTCCAAATCTTGTACAATTTCGTAAATATCCAGGATAATACGAGGGGGTTAAAGTCGGAATTTCCTTATTCCGAGAAACAGAGATTGTTATTAGAAATGATCAAATAAATTGCACAGTATGAAATTTGGTACTGTATGGTATTCAATGTTACCAGAAATCCTGTCCCAATTACAACTTACTTCACTAGTCTTTTCAACAGATTCGCATATGTAGGTTGTATTTCAG